CTGCTTTTTGGACAAGTCCTTTGCAGTTTTCAAGGCAAGGTGTTTCAGAAGTGGTTTGCCAGTGCCTCCTTCCTAAGTATTAATATTAGTTTTTGTTAAATAAGTTATAATCTAAGATCTATTGAAATTTTTGACACTGACATTGAGACAGTTTCCTATTGTTTGGACACAAAGGGGATCTCCAATACCTTGTTCTATTCTATATTTAAAATTTGCAAAATTTAAGATCCAACTGATTTATCAATAACTGGCATGCAGCTTCCCCAGTGTTGTTGGACTACAGTTTCTATCAATCATTATCTGTACTGGCTGGAGTTGATGAGAGGTGAAGCTCTAAACCAGTATTTCTCAACCTTGACAACTTTAAGATGTATGGACTTCAGCTCCCAGAATTCCCTAACCAGCCATGCTGGCTGGGGAGTTCTGGGAGCTGAAGTCCACACATCTTAAAGTTGTCAAGGTTGAGAAACACTGCTCTAAACAATACTAAGTTTTTCATTTGTGCTGTGAAGCAGATAGCTTGGAAGCCTGCAATTAACCAGGTCACAGCGAGCAATCAAATTTCCATAATACTGCTCTTGATGGGAAGACTTTGATACTTGCTGTCACCGCCAATGAAAACACGGATGCGTTTGTTGCACATTGCAGCCGAAGCTGCCTATACACCCTCCTGTACTGACCCCATTTCTTAAATAACTACACCACCCCAATTGTTCTGCCTTTCTCTTTGTAATCACCCTAGTAGATTTCTCTGTATCTCTGTGGTTATATACAGAGGACGCGGTCTCTACAAGTGTCTGGCTTGGTCCTCTATGCTCCCTCCCCTTGTCCCCCGCCTGCCTCATGCCCTTGCATGATAAAAGCAGCCTGTCTTTCTCTCCTTATGTGTTTGGCATTGAAAGGAATGACAGGGTCATGAACTTGAGCTCCATACAGCTGCAGTCCTGCTGTATCAATAGAAACTCTCTTCTATATATAGAGGCTGATTGTTAGCATTCCCAACATACATGGCTCCTGCTCGAGTTGGCTTTCAGCTTCTTAAAAACTCTGACCAACAGGGGTCCAAACAGTGACTCATTTTTTTTCAATGTCTCAGTGTCACCTAATCAGTTTTTAAAAAGCAATCTGGCCATTTTTGATGGAGAGTTGCATTTGATTTTCAATTAAACAAACTTTGTTGAAGATTACAGCTAGGACAGGTCACCCAGGAGCAAGATACATTTTGCTATGAGTTCCACATGTCATTTGCATGACAGCCAATTCTGCTCCTTGGGGGAAGTAATCAGGAAGGGCCACATGTTTCCTGTCACCTGTTCTCCATATGCACATTTTATTTTAAGAGTAGTGTAAACTTAGATTACATCAAGGAAATGTATTGTTTTGCATTCTCCACTTTGCTAAGCAGTGAGAAATTCAAGGAGGAGAGATAATTGAAGGTGTAATTTGCTTCTGAAATATTTGATTTAGCTATAAATATACAAGTAGAAACAAACAACCATAACTGATCCAAGCACTGTTTCTCAGCTTTTACATCTCACCATCTTGTAGAGGGAAAACCACATATAGGAATGGGAATGACAACGTGCTTTATTGCCCTGGCCTTCTTGGAGAAAGGATCATATAGGACCATCCTAATAGTCAAGAAACCATAATATAATTCAATGCATTTTTGTGATTTTTTTTCTTGAGTGTTTTCTGAGTCTCAGTGGAAGGAGCCTGTAATTAAGGGAGGGGGGCAAGAAAACAGGGTACCTCTCTCTAAAATTCTGACCAGTTTGGATTTAATGCTTATAGCTCGACTGAACCTGAATGATGTGGCCAAACAGCAGCGCCTGGACTTGCTCAACAATATTGCCACAGTCCTAGTTTTCATCACGGTCATTATCAACATCTTCATTACGGCCTTTGGGGTGCAGAAGACAGGGCTGTATCCAAACTTTTATGGACGAAGGCTCTACTGATTCTTGAAAGAGTAAGAATGGGATGGAGTCCTATGTAACTCTTCATTTGAAAATGTGGATATTTCTTGGTGGCCCCATTTTGCTTCCCATCCTTTCAGCTTTCAACCATCCGGTTAGCTATTTGAAAAAATTACCTTGGTAAAGTGTTACCAATATCCATTGGGAGAATGGATGGAGTAATTTTAAGATGGACAAATGCCTGTAGAAAGGTACAAGGTAGTATGTAGTCTTTTGTGAGGAAAGAATGCCAAAAGAAGTGAAAATGGCTGTATATGCGAGAGCAATGGGTTATGTAAAAGCAGTGTGTATGGTAAAAGAACATAACGGCTCAATGAATAGGGGCTGAATGAATCTAGACAAAATATAAAAGCAAGTGACTGGTACAAAAGAAGTACATGAAGATAGTTTGGCCATATCGAGAGATTGAATATGGACTGACATGGAAAAGAACTGCTTGAAGGAAGAATGAATGGGTTAAGAGGAAGGAGAAGACTGAGAAAGCTGTGGTTGGAGGGAGCTACTGAGATCCACAAGAAGGGAGAAGTAAGAGTTGAAACAAAAAACGACGTATGGATGTAATTGAAGCAAGGACAGTTTACAAAGATAGAAGGATACAGTGAACAATGTTGGTGTAAAACACATTTAGATATATTTTCTTTTTTCTTATGTCTTTAATTTCTTTTAATGCATTATTTCTACTCCTTTGCTCGGCTCTGCATGATTTTCATTGATTGATTACATGCTAGCAAGTCAGTCTCAACTCTTAGGAACCATGTAAACAGATTTTCTCCAGGAGGCTCTTGCATAATGTTGCCTACCCTAAAATGGAATAGCATAATTAGTGTGTGTGCGTGTGTCTGTGTGTGTGTATAATAGTCTTTTCATTTAGTGCTGAAAAGTCCAAACACTTTTTTTCTGTCTTGTTATCAATTTTATACAAATTGCTCTGGGAGCCATTTTGGCTGAAGAGGTGGATAAACATATTTTAGAACATAAATATTTTTATACTTCATGAGCTTATTAAACCTACCTCCCATATTATAGCCATAAAGTTATTCAGAATTGTTAAAAATGGAAACAGAAACAAAATAGAGGAGGAAAAAGAAGATGATGATGATAATGATAATGTAAGATAGTATAAAACGTAATCAGTTAAACAATATATTTTAAATAAGAAAACTAACTACAAATGAAAAACAGCTGAATAATAAAAAGAGTCCTGGGATTACTTCTAAAGCTTTTCTGAAAAGAAAAGTATTAATTTCATTCAACAGGGAGTTTGCTTAGCAAGTCTCTCTTGGCTGGAAGTTTCAGAGCAGATGTTCTTTGCTTTGTTAAACATTTTTTTTTACAAGTCATATTTTGGAGATGACTTTGAAGAACAGGGTGGTTTGATGACTTTGGAAAATTGTGCAAGCAGTTCATATGCAGAAATGCAATGCAAAAGGTATTGGTACCTTTTCAAGTACCAATAGAGGAGAATATATGAAGCTCAGGGTTGAACTGTGGAGTCCTTGGGGTTCTCTGAGCTTGGTTGTTTTCTTGCAGATGTTTTGGTACCTGTCTAGGTAACATCTTCAATGCTTCAGTGCACTAAAGATGTTACTTAGAAGGGTAATGAAACATCTGCAAGAAAACAACCAAGCTCAGAGAACTCCAAGGACTCTTGTTCAAGAACCTGGGCCCCAGTCCTAGAAGGTTTTAAAGAAGGAGGGGGAATATTTTCCCTTCAAGTATTTCTGAAAGACAGTTTCCAGCATCCTTCACAACTGCCCATGCTGATCGGGACTCATGAGAATTGGAGTAGAACAGAATATGTAGGTGCATCTTCAAAGGAAAGCACCAGCACCTTGAACGGAGCCCAGAAACCAATAGACAACCACTGAAAGAATTATATATTTCCTGCAGTTGACATGAGTTAATTACCATGGTATTGTTCTCCATGGGCTGCAGTTTCCCAGTGTTCTTCAGGAGGATCAGCACAAAAAATTATGTCACTGTGGTCCTATCTTGAGTGTACTGAAAAGTGATCTAACTGAGTGACAAGACATCGAAAAAAACCCAAAAAACTGTTCAGCTGATAAACTAACTTTGGAATAAGGTGTGCTGCCAGCGGAGAAGCAATACGAATTAGTCTTGAAACACAGTCCTTAAAAATGGGTTGTAATCCTATTGACTGGCTGGAGAGAGTGCTCCAAATTTGGAGAGGGAGTCAGTCAGACATTAAGTCCTTCTTTCCAGCCTCTGTGGAAAAATCTGGATTCATTTTTTCCTTTGAGAAAAGAAAATAGGTACATTTGGGAGTCCAGCATAAGTGGAACAGAGGAATTCCTTGCCACACTTCTGATCTGAGGAAAAATTTGAACCAGCCTATTGAAAGCAATCCTGCGTGTGAGATATACTTTAATTCTAAAATAAAGGGGGAAGAATGCTAGAAGAGGAAGGAGAAAGAGAAGACTACCTTTTCTCCTTACCAGTCTCATGTTGGAGAGGATTACTCTTCTAGATCTGAGTTTATCCTTTAACCCAATCTTCCTCAAGTCAGCTTTCCACAAACTGTTGACCTACTGATGTATTGAGACAGCAACTTCTAGAATTCTGAAAGTTGTCATCCCAACCCATCCAGAAGACATCAGTTTGGGGAAGACTCCCACTTCTGATATCCTGTCAATTATAACCTTTCCAAGACTACCTTGGAGTGTTCAAAACCTCCTTTACATTCTATCAGCAGTGTTGGGAAGGGTAGTCTGTGTAACAGTCCTTTTGATTTTTCTTGCAGGTTGGTGCACGTGGCAGTTGACTGGGATATAATTCGGCAGCTGACCTCAAGCCTGATGTGTAACAAGGAACTTCCTGAGTTCAAATACAACCACGTGGAACCAGCTTAAGCCTGTTTCTGCAGCTCTAAAGTGTTAATGGATTTCTCAGAAGAGGCACTCTTTGATTTTGATCCATTTATAAGCTTCCTTTTTTTCTCAACCTGTTTTCTAACTCTATCATTCTGTAATGAGCTCTACATGCCATTCTGGAAAAAGATTGCCTACTCCTAAAACAACCTGATTGGGAAAGGCACAATCTTAAACAAAAACAAGACCCAGTCCCCAAGGACTCCACTGTTAATATAGACATAGGAAACTTATTGCCCTATACAGGTTTGTTGAAGTCCAGCCCCAGCCAGCATGGCCAATAGTCTGAGATGATAGGAGTTATATGGTAGCTGGAGGACCATAAGTTCCCCATGCCTGAGTTATGGCACATTCCTGGGACATGTGCTTGTCATTACATCACTTGCTACAAATGCAGAGACACAGCAGTTCCAGGATCACAGATTCTGAGAACCCTTTCAGAAACTACTAATGAACATTTTTAAGTTCAAGGATATTGTATATCCAGTTTTTGTTCTAGGAAAACCTGCCTTCACAATCAGAACACTGGGAAATATGACATTATCCCAGAGAGCTAGAGGCTTCAGTACAAACATGGAACTCCCCTCCAATATTCATCTGGGGTGTCCCTGTTAGCCAAAAGCCCCATATCATTTGCTGCAGGAAAAGTAACTTTGCTCACCCAGATATTTGAGCATGGAACCACTCCTCAGGTTCAAAAGGCTATAGAAAGCATACGGATCTTAATTTTAAATTTCTATTTTCTATTAATCATTAATTTATCATTTTGTTAAAATACAGATAAGTGCAAGCGGCTACCTGTATGCAGTATCTGATAAGTAAGCTACAGTATAAACCTCCACTAGCTTTAATAATAATGTTTATAGGCATGCATGTTATTTTAAGGCTTTACAAATGAATCTTGTTTTGCAAAGAGTGAAAGGTTCTGAAAACATGTTTTTTCTACTTTTGCATTATTTTAAAAGGCAGTTTTGTGGTCACAGTTGCAACTGGGGCACCCTTTGATATTCCAAATATTATTTGCTTTCTCTTTATTTATTGAAATATATTTTATCCAAAGGTGTTATTTGGTTTCTATGTGCTACAGCTATGTTAAAGATAGGTCAGCTAAAGTTTTTAGAGCTATCTATATGTTTATATTTCAATGATTATAGGACAGTATAAATAATTAACTTGATCTGGAAATGAAGACAGTGCCATGGGCTTATATTTCCTATTCCTTGCAGAAGGTATTCCTATATTTAGGCTATTGGATTTTCCTGAACTGTGGTGGGACTGCATATGGATGAGGTCAAAAGATTATCCCAATCTCACAGCAAGTTAGCTGTTTGAAGGTGAGGAGATGTTTCTTCTCAGCTAGAGAAGTTTGATTTAGTCCAGTCCTTAAAAAACGTTGATTTATCAGAAATGGCAAGAGACATTCCTTAATATGATATGCATATTCTGTTCCGTGTTGAGTTTTGAGGGCTGAGAAATGTGGCTGAAAAGTATTGTACTGTAAATACCTCCCCCTAGTGCTGTCTATCAGATTCAAGACATAGCAGGTCTATATTTCCAGTTCCTTGTTTTCATTATAGCATATTCATTATATCCAAGAACTCAGATTTTATATCTACTTTATTTGCCACCATTCAACCAAATTGCTTCTTAATTAACCCAAGAAAGTGACGGGTTGTCGCAAGGGAAAAATGTATCGCATTCAATGCTTTCAGACTTCACTACAAACCCATCTATATACAGTAGCTAGCCAGCTGACAAAACTTGATTAGAAATTATAGAGGCAACTCTTGAATAGCCTTAATTTTTTCCTAAAAGTTAACAGGATGCATTTGGAACAGAAGACAGGGAGGATGGTAAACTGAAGATGCAGCTAATTCAGATTTATTTTAGGTAAAAATGCTATATAACTTCTACCTGAGGGAACATAGAGACTGGTTGACAGAGGCAGATTCATCAGTAGATATATTTAACTGTTTCAATGAAAAGAAGTGCTGAGAATACAGAACACAAAATAAAACCAGGTGTCTACACCTGAATAGAACAGTGTGTGGTTTTAAATTAAGAAAAGGAGCTTAAAATATTCCTTCGTTGGACTGATGTCTCGGTATCAAACACAGCTCATATCACATACTGACCAACTTTGATCCAAGGATGGATGGATAAATAGATTTTATGTATTTATTTACAAAATTGTATACTGCCCACTTTTATAGATTCTGATTTTAAGTCAAAACATCAACTTCAAATCAGAACATACATCAAACCATACTCCCATCCCCAATTAAAATAGCCTCAGAACAAAAACCTAAGTGGCCACCAGGCATCATTAGATGAAGCACTGAATGTCTGCTGAAAAAGAAGCATCTTCAGTGGCTTTCACAATGCTAGCAGTGACGGGGTCAGGCATACCTCTCGAGGTAGTATGTTCTACAACATTAGAGCCACTCCATTCCACCACATTCCTCTTCAGAAGGGCTTACCTCTTGAGAGGATGGGACCCTTAGCAGATCATCTCATAGGAGAGTCAGAGTCATTCTGAATATAGTGATCCCTTTGAGTTTGGGACTACACCATGTGGGGCTTTTTAGGTAATAACTAGCACTTGCAGTTGAGCCCAGAAGCTGACTGGCAACAAATGTGGACCACAGAGTAGGTGTTATACTGCATAATATCAACAATCTGGCTGCTGTTTTCTGGACTAGTTATAGCTTATGAGCCACTTTCATAAGCAGTCCTGCTGTATGTAGAATGCATTGCAGTAGTAAGACTCATGGTGTTAAGGGGGTGAGTTAAGCAGGGGCTTAACTGGCATACCAGCTAAAGCTGGGCAAAGGTTTCCCTGGCTACAGCCTCTACTGTTGTTCAAGCAGGAGGTGCGAGTCTGGAAGAAGGCCCTGGTCACAGACTTGTTCTTTGATGGGGGCCTGACAGTTGGAGCCCACGTCTCTGGAAAGTTATGATGTTTACATACAGATAGCAGCTCTATCTTGCCAGGGTTTAGGTTAAGTTTGTTTCTCCCTGTCCTGTCCTCGAGGCATTGGATCAAGATTCCCATAGCATTTCCAGTCTGGCCTGGGTTGGCAATACATGACTGAATATCATGAGCATACTGATGATATCTCACTCCACCTCAGCGGACAATCACACCCAATAATTTTATATACTTGGTGAATAACATGGGAGAGAATATCAAACCATGTTGCACTCAACTTTGGAGCAATTACAAGCTCAATTGCTGTTTCCTGCCTGCCAACTGGGACTACCCGCTCAGCAGCACAGCCGCAGCAAAATGGTGCCTCACCCTGAATGCATGCAAGCAGTCCGGAGGAACACCCAAGAGTTCCAGGATACATAGGAATGAGAAGACTGGGAATTCTTGGACAAGTTAGTAGAAATATTGCTATCTATAAATAGTTCAGTGAGTGGCCATTCTAAAGAAAGAAGAATTAGTCATCCTATCATGATCATTGATACAATATAAAATAAAATGAATGGGCCGCTGTATTGGCTGAATTGACACCCTTCATGAGAAGTTTTGCATATATTTCTAGGGAAATATTTATTGAAGTTACAGTTCCTTGCATATTACTAGAGGATATAATACAATCCACCTTTTCTGAACATGACATTCTCTAAATGCATTGGGAATAAAATTAAATTACTAGAATTCCCAGTATTGGAACTTATTCACCTCTATATTGTCTGTAAGTATCTTAGTGTTTATGTAACTGCTTAACTGCTCTTTAAATGTTGCAGCACAGATACAAAAAATCATTAAGTGATAGATTTTCCATGGCACTATCGCCATTTTTAAGAACTAGCTCAGTAAAGTAGTAAGAGGTTTAAAAATGTAATGTACAGCTCCCATATATTCAAGACTGTATTCCTTGTTATTCACATGTTTGTGGGTTGGTATCTTGAACAATAAAAGTTAATTATCTGCTTAATTGGAGCCTATTTTACCCCAAGGGTATGCATATAAAAGTTATATTTTTTTGCCCTTGAATCAATCTCATAACCAAAAACAGGCAAAAACTATGGGTGTTAAAATGTAAAACATATGCCTCCCCTTTCAATTAGATAATCATTAAGTAACTGTATAAGTGAGCAGTGGATTCATAACAGCTTATGCAGTAAACAGTCTCTGAGGTGCCATAATCATATTTATTGTTCACATTGCTAATTTTGTTTTAGTACCCTTCAGACCCAATCTTAACACATTTTCAAATTACTAAGAACGCTTTTTAATGTGGAACACAGGCTGAAATTCAAGACAGAAAGCAAATTAAAGGTCCTGCTCCAAGCTCAGGTGATCAAACTGTTTGGCATGTTGGACTCAGGTGGTTCCTGGGAAATGTCAGATCTCTGTGGAGAAATGTTGCAGCCATCCATGATCTGACCCTAGACTTGGCAGTTATTCCTGGGATCTCACTGGGCAACAATGGGGATATAGGGGACATAGTTCTGTTGGAAATTTGCTCTTCTTGGTTTCAGCTCCTGCAGCAATCACAATGCCAAGGCCAGGGAGGAGAATTCTATGATCATTTGCAAGCCCTTGCAAATGTCCAGTAGCACTACTTGAATAATCTGGGAGAGAAGATTAAGCCCCGCAGAACCCAATTTTCGAGCAACCACAGGCCCAAGTGCTGTTCTCTTGACTACTTCTGACTCAATCAGAAGCAGAAGCCCTGCAAAATGCTGCCTCCACCATGAACTCATGCAGGCAATCCAGGAAGATATTAAAGTTGATGGTGCTGAACACAACCGTGAAGTTTAATAGGACTAGGAGGACACACTCCCCTCCCTCCAAGTTCCAACAAATATGATCCACCAATATTGTTTCTGTCTCATGTTCATTCCTGAATCCTGACAACAAAAGGGATCCGGATAATTTTAGCAATGAGCCAAACAAATATTTCAGTTTTCTAAACACTAGCATTACTTGTCATCAAAAAATTTCCAAAATGGGGATCCCATCTGTAAACTGCTTCTTTATTTCATCTATTCCTCAACAGTTCAGGTGTGAGTTCTGAATCTTAAACACATGCACCCGGAATAAAGTCTCCTTCCACAGCATGGGAGTTACTTCTGTGTAAACATGTAAAGGATTTTATTACACATTATGACCATTGCAGTGATTGGGAATGAAGAGTTAGTGATTTGCTTTATACATTGCATTAAGCTATAATTGGTTTAACCACGGTTGATTGACCTAACTGTAATTGGCTGATTTCACAGAATACACTAAGCCAAAATTTTAAAAATCCATTATGGTTCAGGGCAGTGTATGAAACCAATAATTGCCTTTAATGTGAAACCAATTCATTCTTAATGAATATGGCCTAAATTCACATTAAATTATTTGCTTAATTTACCCTGGGACTTACTTATAAGTATAGAGATAGGACTATTCTTCAGCAAGTCTGCATATTAAGATACATAGATGGTTAAAGGAAATGATTGTGCCATCATTGTAGCCTTACCGTTCATGGCTCTTCAGCCATGGTTGGTAATCTTATGGTTAAACATGTCATCCAAACCCTGAGGATCCACCTTATTTTTTAGCTGAGTCTGAAACCAATAGTTTCAAATTCCAGTTAATGCTAAGTAACTGTGATTTAGTGTGTCATATCAACTAAGATTTCTTTCATCAATAATTCATGCAAGAAACACAGGTTAAATCAGCTATTCCCCACCTGGTGTCCTCCAGATGCATCAGGACTAGAACTCCTAGAATTTAAAACAGTATAGTTCAGGAAGGCTGGCTGCAATTCTGCCCACTGGGTTTTTTTCTATGTTTCATTAACATCAAAACAATGGATCTAAAAGCAAATTAACTAGGTCAGATATAAAAAAAAAGACTACCAAACTTCATAAACCAGCAGATCCATCTAAAACCATTCTTGTTTATGCACGGTTCAGATCCAGTGACTTCTAATAATGATTCCAATGGCATAACATTTTGCAACTTTCCCAGAGATTTCACTAGACTGATCCTTTAATGGAAATCTCTGATTGAGGCTGGCATAGACATTTACTTTTAAGGGGAGAAGTTCTTGTTCTCTGAGCTTGTTTTTCTGCAGTTGTTTTGTTACCAGGATAGGTAACATCATCAGGGCATAGGAGTGAAGTTTGGTGGTTGATTATATAGTAGCCTGACCTACCAGCATTGATTATGGTGTGGTTTCTTTCTTGATTGTCTTTGATTAGGATATAATTTCTTCCCTGATGGTTGTTCTGGTGCTGGTTTCTATTTATCAGGTGTTGATGCTAGGTGTCCTTCCTCAGTCCTAACCTCAATCATGCCACTCCAGCTCTGCCACCAACTGAGCGTGCTGTCCTCTCCTCTCCTTGTCCATGCAGTTCCTTGTTTTCCAAATCCCAGCCCACTTGAGGGGGCAGGCTGTCTGAGGGCAGCCATCCCATTGCCTCTGTCTCCTTCCCTTTTTGCTCACCTCAAGCACTGGTGTACCCCCTCCCCATTTCTCTGCAGCCCAATGAAACCTCTGCTGAAAATGCTTAAGGCTACTTCTAAGTAGCAACCACACCCTATCTGGCTGAAAAAAAGCAGCATATGCCAACTCTTTGGCATATAAATAGTACACTTTAACTAGTATTTAAAGAAATACTATTCCTAAGAAAGCAGAGAAGTTCCCCTGTATCAGAGCCTGTATCTTAATGCAGGCTACATTTACATATGCTAAGCCATGTTTTAGTGCCCTGCAGGGAATTTAGACAGGAAGCCGCAATGTCTGCATGAGTGTTCCAAGTAGCACCATCAGATACATTTAAGGGAACACAACCCCTCAAAATCTGCTGTTGTATTGAATATCTGTACTTATTCTGCTGTTTCAGCTGGTTCTTTTATCAAGGACTCTGACAATATAAACTGCTACCCAGAGCCTTGTTTCCATTTAGCTTCTCACGGTGCCTCCGATGTAGCACTGCACTGAGGTATGGTAAGAAATTAAAGTTGGAAGGTTGGATCCTGCTGCTTGAAAGAAGGAATCTCTCGGCAGCCCTCAAGAAAGGCAGTGGGTTGCAGGCAGTGGATTGCACCACTTCCCAAATGAGCAAATTTCATGGCACTTTCAACTCAGGAAAAATCAAAAAAGGGTGGCCCCACTGGATGCCACAACTAGGTGGTGCACAGAACGCTTCTGAACAGTGTTGTGATGCCAGCATGGTTTATGAGCCAGATTTTATAGCTTTGTGTGCTGTATGAATCTAGCCACTTGTGACTTAAAGAAAACATGATTAAACAAACCATAGCATAGTCTGTTGTGTGAACATAGTCACAGCTCAAATCACCCCACCACCAGCCAAGATGGTTCAAGCTCTGGAACTTATACTTCAATCATAACTGGAGATGGTTTACAGTTGTCTATCCCTTCTCAGAAATGGAGATTCAGCACCTGGAGCTGAATCCAGAATGACATCTATTGAAATTTCTGTGTCCAAGGTATCTATTTTGTGTACTTGACAATGCTGGCATCCCACTTATTTTATAAAGATAATGTTGCCTCACTTAGAATTGGGGTGTTGTTTATATATTCTATAATTATTTGCTTGGTCTTTATTTAATAAGGTATATTAAGGTGTAACTTGATTATATACCTTATCATTCAGTGATGAACGTGGTGAGAGTTGGGATTTTAGAAGTGTTTCAGAGGGACAAACAAACCAATCACACACAATATAAAATTTTAATTGCAAAATCTGTATTTATAAACTGACCAGGATGCTTTCTTCCTGAAAGAAAAAGGTTAGGTCACATTTAAGGCACACATTTCAGAGATGCAGAATTTAAAAACCCAAACCACACCTCAGATATTCATGAAAAAGGAGAAGGCAGGCTTGGAAAAGAAATCACAGCAACTGCTACAGAACAATCAGTCTATTCAGATATAGATTAACAGTGTCGCATTCATGTCTCTCTTTACTGATGTGATAGCAAAATTCAATCTTCATTCCTTCCTCTACTGCGCTGTTAGGGATTATCACAAGGGACGTCTAATATAGCTGGTGGGCAGCAGACAGAGGAAGGCTGTATTGAAGAAAGCTTTGTTGACTTATTGTTAAACAATTATTTCCTTTCCTTTTTTCTTTTTTTAAAAAGCCCAATGTTTTGGGGGGACCTGCAGGTGGAGCTTCAGTTGCACTGTCATGTCTGACATCTTGACTTTGATCATACCCTGTGGATACCCCCTGAATTTGTTAATTTTTTTACATAGTTATTTTGCCATACATATTGCCATAAGTTAAGTTCTTCTTCTCTGGGAGAAAACTTCATTGAGAAGCTCAATTTCTGTATTTATCCAAAACATCATGAGGAAGTGTTAACTTTATGGCTTTATGGTCTTTCTTTCACACAGTATTTTAGTTTAACAATTGAGATAAGCTGTAAAATCTGAAATGCTCAAGGTTGAAATAGTAATATGGATATTGTATTTATTTATCAATCACATTTCTACCCCACCACAATCAAATTACTGTCAATAGCTTACACAGAATAAGCTGGGGGGGGGGGTGTCTTCTAGAGTACATCTTATTAGACAGAATGACTGGATTCTTTCCAGTTGCATTTTTAAAATCCAGATTCTGTCTTAGAGTATTTAAATATCTAACTCATAAATGCTGCTGTTTTGATACAGTATTTGCAACTAGCCTTAATGCCCAGAAGAGTTAAGTATCCTAATCATGGTCCCTCTTAGGAGCTACTCATAAAGTTCTGAAAACCAAGGAGCATAACCAGCAAACTTTCTGAGATTCAGTGCTTTTTCATCGCTCTGCACAATACTTGCTTGAATCAATTAGGAAAGGATGCTACACAATACATAAGTACCAAAATGTCTTGTTCTTTATAAATAATTATCAAGACTCCTTTTAGCAAAACTAAAGTTGTGTTATATCTCTTGGAAATTTGAAGCTTATTCCTTACAGCAAAAGCTAAACTTTCTTCAGTTTCCCCAATCAGGACATAGATCTTTTCCAGAGTACAGATAAATAGTAATCATACACATTTTCCTGCTTCATACAGCCAGGATACAGATTACCAAATAACTCTTTCCTTGTACTTATGAGGTATTTCCTGAGATCAAGCACATTTGTGTACCATGAAGACATACAGTCAGATTTTATTTATGCAGTACTCTTGTTAGCCCCAGAACAGCAGCTGGGGCTATTTTTCCTGGGTATAGATAAATCAGAAAATCTATGTAAATGTCTCTTAGTTGGGATGTCTGTTTTCTACTTTTCAGTTCAAGTAATTGAAAAACTTAGGATCTTGTTTCAAAACAAAGACAAAACAAAAAAACCAAACCAGAAAATTAGGAATTTTAATAATTCCTAGGTGACCCTTGTTGACTGCACCTAGCTAGTACTTGCAGGAGCAAATGACCAGGTGATTGAAACCCCACCCTTTCTAACATGCATTGCATCCACCACATGACATACAAAAGGGCAGGACTTCAATTGCCCTGTTGCACTGCCATTTTGACATTATTTGCTTCCCTCCAGACAACCTTGGGTACTTGGATTGGTAACCACTGGGAAATACCAGGGCTGTGGGCTGAGAAATTTAAAAAAAAAAAACATTTGGAAGAAGGCAATGGAAAATGATTCCCATTTCTTTGCCCAAAGGTCCCTAGATGGACTTGTCCCTGAAGTCACCAGAAGCTAAACTTGATTCAGTCATTTTATATTTTATAACCATTCTCTGAAGCAAATGTTCATCCATGCAAATCAATTAAGGACTCCAGAAGAAAATACTTCTTTTTCCTGGATGATATCCCTTAATCATGGCATAGCGTATCTGTTTGTATTGAACAGGCAAGTGACAATGTTTGCTTCTGCAAGGTAGCAGTTGCCTTTCCTTTCCAAAACAAACTGATAGTGAAGGCAACCCCTCAACCTCATGCCCAAATGAAAAAAACCACAGTAACAACAGAACGGATGTGAACACGTTAGTAAGAATCGCTTGGTAACAAAACTGTGAACAATAATGTTTTGGGATAAAGAGGTAGGTAAGGAACTGAACCTGAAAATCCCTGCCTATCACTGCGACATGTAAGGAGTCAGCAGAAGCTGGAATAAAATCCTCCATGAGAACTTGTCCAGGATGTCTGGAATGTCCTCTGGAAAAATAATAACAGAAATCATAATAAGAACACATTCATTTTCTTCTTTAATTCCTTAATTTTTGGAGCAAGGGCTCTTTTACCGCAGGCTAACAAGGAACAGTAGATAGACATCTTTTTATACAAGACAGAGGACATGAGGTTTGTTAAAGTCTTATCCACTGAGGTAGAAAGACTCAAACTTTACAGTTTCCAAGATTGATGGAATTTACTATGTAGCTGGAAGACTATTAGAGCTCAGTTTCTTGAAAAGCCAGCTTTTTTTTTTTTTTTTTGCTTTAGAATCATGTAAAGCAGTGACATAGACTTCTATTCACTTTCACAAATGCATTGAACAGGATAAACTCTATTTCTTTTGTAAAAGGTTCTGATGATTCAGGCTGCTTGTCTCTGTTACTGTGATCATTACTGCAAGGTTGAAGAAGGCCATTTCTGGGGCTCTATGAAACGATGCTCATTGCTTGATTTGTGTGTGTGTGCATGGGGGGGGGGTGTATATAAACTTACATACTTATATACATGCATGTATATGCTCCTCAGTTAAGACTCCGTGTGCTTAATCTAAAGCAGTGTTTCTCAACCTTGACAACCTTAAGAAGTGTGGACTTCAACTCACAGAATTCCCCAACCAGCATG